ACACATCATCATCACATTTATGGTTCATCAAGACACAGACAGCCCTTATTTCATTTCAGTTTTGATCAAAAAATCTCATTCGGTACTATTTGTATTTCTGAGGGATTACAGCTTCATATTTTTGGCAAAGTGAGTTGGAATTTCCTGTTTATGTACATTGGGTTTGTATTCTCCTTCTCTTGATTTTTCTCAAAACACTTGTAAATATCCTGATACTAATAATACCCATAAATAAGCAAACGTTCTGAACTATATATCAGTAATCCTTTATGTTTGCAATGAAGTCATAATTTTCACTTATTTGATGGAAGAATAGCTACCATTCATGTACTCAAATTCAAGGACTTCAAAAAGTACTGAAATTTTCTTCATTTACCGAGAAATGGCACATTGCACAAATACTAGGGACTTAGCATTCACCATATATTGATGATGTTTTTGCCATCCTCTTTGGTGCCAGCTGTTTCTCCTTTATTGTCTTTTCTATTTTCATTTACAGAGAAGGACAATATTTAATACAATGATGTGAAGCTGACCTTCACTAGTAACACTCCCAGCCAGGCCCTTCCATCTGTCCAGGACTCCTGGTTAAGTTGTAGACATGAAACATTCTCTTGTCTGAGTGAGACTGATGGCCTAACATTTTCATTTTTCTAAAGAGCTGGATGTTGTCACATTCCAAAGAACAAGAATCATGCCCCTTGCCTTCACTTTCCTCACACTCCCTTAGTACCCTGAGAATGGACAAAACAAACTGCCTCAGTGTCCACCTGCCACGTTCAGTTGATTCGTGGCTGCTCTATGAGCTGCTCTGACAGAAGACATATCTTGCCTGACAGCTACAGTGCTATTCCCCTGTTTCAGGGGTAGCTGCCGCCTCTGTGAAGAGGTTGGCAGGAAACTGCACCTAGTGAGACAGACTGAGAAGGAATCTGTCCCGATTGTTGACATCTCCAAGACTTCCAAATCCCAGTAAGCCATAACTGACATTGCTAGCCCTCCTGAAGGTACCCTAAAAAGAGTAGGTGTATCTAGACTAGATAAACTATTTTTTCAGAGCTATAGCAGCGGTCAATTATGCAGCTACATGTTCCCCAAAATTTACCACCATAACTGATGCATCTGTCCTCAAGTTCCCAAACCCCACCACAGAAGATACCTTACTGGGCTATGATAGATTTGAAGCTGAACCAAATAGCAGTATTTAATTTATGGCAGTCACTAAGCATGAGTCACAAAGTTTTAATTTCATCCAGTTAACAAGCTCGATATTGGACCAACTGTAGTCACAAATTTAGACCAATCCTTTCTTAATTCTCAGGATGATCTATAAGGTCTCCCTCAATTTTGCTTACCACCTGTCCTGTCTAAAGACAAATGTCTTGTGAATCTATGCATTATTTGTTTCTAGGGCAATGTGGGATTGGAGAGTCCCATAAATCAATTCAGTTTTTTAAAAATTCTGGGTCATTTTCTCAGAAGAATTTGCTTTTTAAAAAAATTTTATTTAAGGAGAAAAAGGAAAAAAAAGCAGAAAAATGGTACAAGTTACATAGAATTTCAGAAAAAAATAAACAGTAGGAAGTCACTAATTAATAGATTCATATTGTCATCTTAGAAATATTTGTTCAAGTTACAAAATTAAAGCATATAAAGTAGACATTCAAATAGTGAGACTGCAAACAGTTCTGTTCAATGATCCAACAAAACTCAGTAATATGGTTATCTATCTTATACACTTAAATATACATGCAATTGTACTGTTAAGAATTTGCTTTTTAAAAAAATTATAGACACTAAATGTTGATATCCCAGAAAAGTTCTAGAAATTGGTGGAAGAAATAAGTGGGCATTGGTGATCAAGGTCAGCAGTTGTACTAAGCAGTGGTCCTCACCAGCACTGACCAGCAACCAATTCATTAAAAGCAATTAAGTGATGATGGTAACAAGAGGCAGCAACTGGTAATGAAGAAGCCATTAGCAGGGATTGCCACTGAATAGCAACAGTGCCCAACAGTAGCAGAAAACAACTAGCAGTTAGTAACTGCCACTAACCAGAACTGAGTGGTTGTATAGTCCAGCAGCAACAATGAGGAATCTAGAAACTAGACACTAAACACTAAACTCTGAGGGCATAGATTCTCAGACCCAAAGGACTGGGAACCATCGGAATTTAAACCCCAGATTCACCTGCAGAGTTATGCTTTTCTAATTCATGTCCTTTTCCTAAATTGAGCACAGAACACTTGATTGATTGGTGATGAGAAATATACAGATTATGTTTATATTCCAGCTGATAAGGGGAATATGTCCTCATTACTTTCCTTCACGCTATATTGTGTCCACTCAGAAACCCATAGAAAGAAGGGTCTGAGGACAATTTTCTCTTCCCATTATATTTGTGGTCTGTCCTGGCCACTGGCTCAGTGCATCACCCTAAGCATTCTAAACTGGTTCTGGCCCATTTGATGACATCATGTACCATAAAACTGCCCATGGTCTTGTAAATTGTAAAATAATATAAAGTTTCAGATGAATTGTTCCTTAATCAGAGTAATGGGAAAATTAATTTTGTTACATTTTTCCTCATGGTACACCAGCCTTCATTATTCTCTACAAGAGCTCCCAAACATGAATGGTCAAAAACAGTGTATACATTTCCCTATGACATTTGTTATTTCAATTATGTTTTGTTTTTCCATATGCTGCCTATTAAGCCGTGCCTATTTCTTTCCCAATGTGGCCTTATGAATGTTAACTACTTTAGGACTTTCTTCTGTCTCAGGTTCCCTTCGACTTATTCATTCATTCATTTATTATTCTCAAGTTTCTGTGAGAGTAGGTTATTTCTTTCACTGTGTAAAATGGCATTTTTGTGCCTGATTTATTAGGTCAACAAAATGTCTTCTCGGTGTTGTTACTCCTAAGATCTGTATTACAGCTTTATTCTGCTGTTGGAGAGAGCTCCTGTCCCATCTACTGATCTCCAAACTGTGTAGATATAAGCTGATCAGGCATGGATGGGTGAGGACATGTTAAAGAATTTATTTTAGGTTGTTTTTATGAAATGTTTGTATTTTCCAAAAAAATATTTTCTCATAAAATAATATTTTAGTAGAGAAAAGCTATATACATCTATTTATATCACTTATATATGAATGCAGTACAAAGATATTTATGATATGCTTCTCACTAATATGTGTGTGAAATATAAAATTTGAAGGCAACTATATTTGGAGGCAATTATATTTTCTGTCATTTCTCCATGGAAGCTAATGTAAGTTGGTAATCAAAAATACATCAAAGAGTATCGCTTTGTGGACTAATGCTACAAAGGAGGTCAACTCTGATGCACTAAAGATTTGCAAGTTTTATCTAATGATTCCACAACATTGTGTATTTTGTTTAAATATATAGGATTTGCAACCAGATGTGATATCTAAATCATTACCAACCTAAGTGATGGTGAAAACAATGCAGTCATATTGCTTCAGTTAACTGATCACTTGAACATTTGCCTTGCTGTTTCTAGAAGACTGTATATATTCATAATGATAGAATTGTTTGAAAGAAATTAAAGTATACTGAACTTCAGAAAAATGACACAAAAGACAAGTTTAAAATTTACAGTTTACATCACCTTGTTTTAAGATACGGTCTTTAAATGCGGTCATATATCTCTTAAGGGTGTTCTTTTTTATTTTAAATAAAAAATACAAATAATGGTACAAAATTTCAAAATAAGATTATAGGAGAGTGACAATGGTTAGTACATTGTGCATTGTTATTTTCAGAGTAGTCACTCCTATTACAAGGGATAGACATTAAAAAATTGATCAAAAATATAGGCACATGTGACTATTTTCAATGAACTAATATCATTTAGTAGTATAACTGTCTTAACTGTTTTGTATGTATATATTTTTCCCTTTTCCCTTCCATCTTTTGTCCTTCCCCCATCCCAGTTTCTCTTCCCTTTTGAACAGCTTTCTTCCACTTCACAATATCTATTCTGGATCCTACTTACTTTTTCAGCTTGTTACACTAGGGAGACAATACAGTGTTTACATATGTGACTCTGATTTATTTCACTTATGAGTATGATCTCAAATTGCCTCTGTTCTCATATAAAGGCCCCTAGTTTATCCTTTATAGTAGTACTCCATCGTATAAAAATATCACATGATTTTTATCCATTCCTCAGTTAACGGGCTTTTGGGTTGTTTCTAAGATTTAGTTATTACAAATTGTGCTGCTATAAAGATGGGTGTACATATATTGCTATGGCATGGTGCTTTTAATTCTTCTGGAAAAATTCCCAGAAAGGGAATAGCTGGGTCGAATGGGACCTATAATCCTAGTTTTTGAGGAAGTTCCACACTGACTTCCATCCTTCTCACTCCCCCATTAAGGATGTTCTTTTCAACATTATCAGGATATATGGTATAACTGACATAAAATAGATGTAAGGAAATAAATTTATGTCATTTATGAGTATGTGAAAGACAAATCCACTGTGGGGATGTGCTTTGTGATAGTATGTAATCCATAAAGCTCATAGCAAGAAAATTATATTAAAATGTTTTTTGTTCTTTCTTGGCATATTAAAGGAACAAATTTCAATATACTTAATATGTACATGGATATTCAATGGCAGATCAGACACTGGATGAAAAAATTGAAGTGAGACAAAAATACAAAAATGTCTTCCACAAAATGAAAGTTTTGCCTCATAGCTATTATATGAGCCAAGTAGTAAGACCCATAAACCATCCATGACTGAGCAGTCATGGGAGGATAGAAAAGGAAACCTTGACCTGTCCAAGAGGGTGTAGGTGGACTTGAGTACAGAATGGAGCAAAGAATGTGTTTGGATTTATTGAAGTATTTTGATGAAGATGGAGTGATGGTTGAGGTTGATGAAGGTGATCATTTTTAAGGTAAAGAATTTTTTGTGCTTTTCTCCTCAAACATCTATATATACCTCTTCCTCTGTGAAGATGAATGAAAACAATACACTTTACAGGTTTATTGGTCTGCATATCATGTTTTTCTTAGAAGTCAGCATTGGAATTATAGCCAATACTGTCCTGCTTCTCTTTCGTGTCCTTAAATTTTTTCTTGAGCACAGGCTCAAATCCACCAACCTGATTACTGGGCACCTGGCACTCATACATATAATGATGCTACTAGTCTTTAGTTTCATAGCCAGAGACATGTTTGGGTTTAAGAACTTGGGAGGTGTCATCACATGTAAATCCATTATCTATTTGCACAGACTGATGAGGGGCCTTTCCATCTCTACCACATGCTTGCTGAGTGTCCTGCAGGCCATCACCCTAAGCCCCAGAAGCTCCTGTCTGGCAAAGTTCAAATACAGATCCTCACATCACAGCCTTTTTTGTTTTCTTTTTTTATGGATCTTTAATATGTTCATCAGCAGTCGTTTCTTATTTGTCACTGGTATCACTGCTAATGTGACTTCACATAACCTCATGTTTCTCACTGAATCCTGCTCTCTTTGGCCCATCAGTTACTTATTCAAGGACCTGTATTTCTCACTGACAACCATCCGTGATATTTTCTGTATAGGGCTCATGGTACTCTCGAGTGGTTACATGGTAATTCTCTTGTTCATGCATAAAAAACAGTCCCGGAATCTTCACAGCACCAGTCTGTCTTCAAAAGCATCTCCAGAACAAAGGGCCACCTGGACTATTTTGTTGCTTATGAGTTTCTTTACAGTCATGTACTTTTTTGACTATGCTATTGCCTCTATTTCTGGAATGTTATGGAAAAGTGACCCAATTCGTCACTGTATCCAGATGCTGGTGGGCAATGGCTATGCCACAGTAAGTCCTTTGGTGCTAGTCAGCACTGAAAAACAAATAATCACTTTCTTAATATCTATATGGAAGAAAGACAATAGGTGTTTGATTATTAAGTGATGGATAATTTCCTGAAGATGAGCAAATTCATTACATTTCTTTGACTATACAGAGTTATTCTTTTTCTATGTAATATATTACTTTGATACATACATCTGAAAAGTATATAATAGATAATTTAGAGCTATAACTCTCTGAGGAACTTCAGACTTCTAATTCCAATAAAACTCTTATCCAGTTTCAAACCTTAAAATATAAACTACATTATAAATGTTATAAGAATGGGATAAGAGGCTAAAAAGAGGGCAATATAAATGTGCAGGAAGGATTCTGTTGTTTATCATTATTATAGTTCTACATGTATGTGTCAATATTTATTAATTTGGATATTTCATATACAAAATTTATTTGATTTTATTTATACTTCAAGAATTTATTTAAATTGTTTTGAAAAATAGAACATGGACTCTGAAGAAACTGATAATGTTAACTTGCTAAATAATGTGTGTGGGATCTAAGTGGCCAAAGAACATTGGTGACTTCATATGAGATGATATGATAATACTGTCCTTGTATAATGGGACATATCTCTACAAATTCCATGAAAGGAAATAAGTATGGTAAGAAATTCTGTAGACATTTTAATAATATCAGTAAATAAATACCGGTAGGTTATAATATAAAAAGGGACTAAGTAGGGAAGGAAGAATATAACATAAACTCAAATCTCAATTCCTTATGCTTGCTTTGGAAACCAGAAACTCAATAATTCTCACCATTCTTGTATCCTTGTGCTTGTAACTTCAAATTTTATACTAGTGCTTATAGCATCAAATTTTAGTGCAATTTTCATTTTTGGAAAAACAAGATAGAATCATTAAAATTATTTTTTCTTGCAGGAGAATGTTATAAGCATTTTGACAAGTAGATACATGCCAAATTTAGAATTTCATTAAAAACTATTTTTAAATATAGTAAAATCACAGTGTGGGTACAACAAGGGTCAAACTAGTCAACTCATGGGTTACAGGTGTATTCTTAGCTAATATTGATCCAAAAGGTAAACTAGTCACATAAAAAGGGTATTTGGAAAGAGCAAAGACATTTTTGGAAAAGTAAATGAATAGAGGGCCAGGTGTTCTGGTCTCTGTGTCTGGGTCCTCTGGACCAGGTAGTGCTAAATACAGTATAATTTCAAATTGTTGACCATCTAAGAGCCCTGGCTATTGTATCTCCACCCTGAACCCTGGTTCTCTTCAGAGTTTCCTCCAGCCATAATTCTGATGTCATTTTTTTTGTGTGTGCTGGCTCCTGAAGGGCCCAATTACTCTATTACTGCATATTAATTTCTATCTAACTTAACCGTCTCTAAGAGTTTGGCATAAACCAAAACCCAGTCACTAAACTCTGAGATAACTGTCCACCCAGGTTACCAGGCTCAGCACCCACCCAACCCAGTGCTCTGGCAGTCTTCTGGATGCAGTGTTGACAAAGGGAAAGCTGGTGCCACACAGGGTCCCTAGCCCTACCAATCCATTGCTTTTTTTTAATCTATTTTTAAAATTTTACTTAAATTTATTGGTACAATTATGTATACATAATTATCACATTCTTTGTAGGGAATTTGTACCTGTACATTATACATCTTGGTTTTTCTTATTATTACATGCTCACAGTACACAATAATTACATTCCTTTTGCAGACTGGTACTTGTACATAACACATCTTTTTAAAAATTTTATTTAAAGAAAGATTAAACAAAACAGAAAATGAGTAGAAATAATATATACGTTCAGAGAAAAAATAAACAGTAAGAAATCACTAGTTAATGTTTACATACTGTCCTTTTACAAATAGTTGTTCAAGATACAAAAGTGAAACACATAAAGTGGGAATGCAAACAGTGAGACTGCAAACAGTTCTGTTCAACTATCCAACAAAAACTTAGTAATATGGTTGGAAATCCTATACACTTAAACATATATGCAGTTATCCATATCTTCATTTATGTTGAGATTAAACAAACTAAAGCAGGCTAAAGTCATTCTGAATAAAGAATAATAGTATTGCTGAATATCACATCATTACACTCTGGGATCAGCACTGGGTACTGTAGTATCTTTTTATTTAAAGAAAGACTAAATAAAACAGAAAATGTGTAGAAACAATACATACTATCAAAGAAAAAACAGTAAGAAATCACTAGTTGATGATTACAGAATGTCCTCTTACAAATAGTTATTCAAGATAATAAAGTGGAGCATATAAAGTGGGGATTCAAACAGTGAGACTACAACCAGTTCTGTTCAATTATCCAACAAAAAATTTAGAAATACAATTATCAATCCTATACACTTGAACATACATGCAGTCATCCATATCTTCAACTATGTTGAGATTGAATAGACACAAGCAGTCTAATGTCACTCTGAATAAAGGATAATACTATTGCTATGTTTCACATTATGACACTCCAGGATCAGCACTGGGTAATTTAGTGTCTCTTTTTCTTTAAAATATCTGTTCATTTCAACATGTGTCATAAGATCAGTTCTCATAAACTGTTTATAGAGTCTACATATGCATGGGTCTTAACATGTATTTCTATCCTTTCTATATTAGAGGGAGAAACAAAACAAAATAAGACAAAACAAAACATATTCCTATAAACACATGAAATAAAAAAGTCCATTGTACAAGGAGTTCTACCATAGTTCCTGTGTTGTCTATTGTTATCTTAAATAGAACTGGCTGTATCATCAGACATAGTATACTTGAATATATCAGTACATAACAGCATTAATAAAAATACAACTTTTTATATAGTGTAAAACATCAAAAGCAGGCAGTTATCAGACCACAATGTGTATCATAGAGTCTTGTCATCTTCAGTATAGTTGCCTATACTCTCAGACTTGATACTATCAATCATATCAGTTTTGAATAAAATCTGTCAATACCAAACAGCAGTCAAACAAACCAGATTTAACTAAGATCAGTCATGATAAAACAGTATAAGTCATACAGGGCTCCAGATTAAGATAATAGGAAATAAAGATGATTACTGTGCTATATCCTGATGTTTTTTGGATAGCTATCTGTGCCCTCAAATCTAATGCAAGTAGACAAACTGGGACAGAATAAAATCTATCAAAAAAGAATAAAATCTATCTAAGCAGAGTGGTGTGAGTAATGTGGTTTTTAAATCCTGATACACTATTAACAATATCTTATGCCAACTTTTTTAAGACTCTTCCTCCCTTTCACTTCCCCAGGGTACACTGTGCATTTTTGGGTCTGACTAAGATCCTTGGTTTTAAATTGCACGGGGGGGGGGCAACCTTATATTTACCTAACTGATTCTGATGCTTCACTCTCCTGGACTTAACTCTAATTGTATTCCTTTACCTATTTTACCTATTAAAGCCTGTCTTTCCAACCTATGCACAAATACTGGTCTAGTTGTCTCTATTATTCTCTGGTTCTCTGTCACACAGAGCATTGATTTTCAGTCCATGTACTCTTTTTCATATATAAATATAAATATATATATATATATATATATATATATATAGCATCTCGGTGCTATATTATATATATATAATATAATATAATATAATATAATATATATACACATAAATAGCATCTTGGTGGATCCTGCCTCCTGATCTACTCCACGTGTGGTTCTTTTTTTTTTTTTAAATTTAGTGTATCAAGGCCATCTATATTAGAGATTATATCCAACTTTATCTGCCTCATTTCTGTTATGCTCTTTTTTGCCATCAGTTGTCCGCTTATCTTCTTCATTCTGTTTTCTGCTCTATTCATTGAGGCCTCTCTGCCACTGTTCCTGGAATCCTAGTACTTTTCTCTCTCTCTAGAATGCCCTGCAGTATTCTCTGTAGAGTTGGATTGGTGGTTGCAAATTGCCCACTGTGGCGGGAACACTGAACCTTTAGCTGTTCCAATAATAGCACCAGGACTGTATATTTGATTGGTTCTTCTCATCTTAGTTTCTTCTTGGGACAAGAAACTTCATTTCCCTCTGTTCAGGGCTTTCCATGCTGTATTATGTTGAATTCTAAGTTGACTATCTTAGGGAGCCTCTGTAGCCAGCTGTTATCTATCCGCTATCTTTGCTCTGCCCAACATGACACATCTTAATTCTCTTTTCATATCCTTCTCCTTCTTTCCCTCATTTTGGATCCTCTTCCCATTTGAGAAAGCTTTATCTCCCTACTTCCTATTATCTTTTATTTAGTACTGTATTTATATATTAGGTTGCTCATACAAGAGAAGCTATGTGATAGGTAAGCTTTTGTGTCCAATTTACTTGTCTTAACATTGTGTACCAATCCACTTTTTGAGCATCCTGGACATAGTGTTTCCTGGTTACCTGCATCAGTGGGGAAAGCCCAGGGCCACTGAGGGAAGCAGAAGGCACACACCACACTAGGCTTGTGTACTTTCCCTATTTGCTTCTTAAAAGAAAGTCAAGTGTTTAGAAACTCTGTGCCAACCTCAAGCTAATTCTCCTGCCAGCCCTGCACCTGCTTAAACATCTCCCACCACAATTCAGGGGCAAGACGCACAACTCCCAGTCTCAGAGTGGTGAAGAAACTTTCCCAAAACCCCACAGCCAGTATCTGCCTGACCTACAGCCATTAAGGGTCTTCCTCCATGAAAGACCTACCTATTCAGATTTATGACCTGCCCCCCACTTGGACTCAATGCTCTCTCATTTTTTGTGGGTTCTCTACATCTAGTTACAGAGCTTTAATGTCATTTTTGGTGCCAAATACTTTGTTTATATTTTTGCTGATTATATGCTAAATTACAGTACTGTACTTTTATATTGTTATGCATTATAGTTTTGCATGCAACATGCAAATAAAGGCAAAGTCATTGAATTGGAATTTTCTTTGATCATTTCTTTGTTCTGAATAGTGTAATGTACATATTCTACATACAATTCCTCATTTACAAACTTAGTCTCAGGACTGGAAGTCAGTCATTAATCAAGGAATTCTATGTTTACCTCGTATGAAGCCACAAGTAC